TTTGTAGTCCTCTCAAGTTGATGGTATTATTCTGCATTGCTGTATAATGTATCACTGGGATTTGTAGTTCCTCTACAGCTTGGAGGGGAAAAAATTATATCAGGGCATCCTTAGGTACAATGCCTAGGCTAAGGGTATGAAATGAGACATCATCTGAAAGGTGAACTTAGCCTTTACCAGGAACGTGTAGAAAACTTTCAGAGCTGCCATGGAAGCCAACTCCAGCCAAAACATTTTTTTTTGTTATGGATAGACTTAGGAACAGTAAATACTGTTACGAGAAACTTCATCCGAGAAAGAAGACACAAACAGTAAAAAATAACCTGACATCAGCTCTAACCCTAGCTGCCCCTGGTGTCGGCCCTGTATGTGAAGGAGATGAGTGTATGGACATCTGTCCCCGGAATAAATATTTCCAAATGTGAAGTTACATTTAAGGGTATTTGACTTGGGCCCTTTAGGATACATTTACACTGAGTGTGAATGTGCGCTTAGGGATACAAATTCCTGCGGCAGGAATCCCAAATATGCTGTTTCGAAGCAGCGGCTGTCACCTGTTCCGGTAATGATTGGAGGACAGCAGCCACATTTGAAAGCGGCAGTGCACTGGCACTGCACATGTAATTGTATGTGATATGATTACATGCGGTTAAGAATAGATTACTATCCCTGGACGAACAATGAATGCGTCCAGGGATAGTGAACGATGCAGCTGCTGTCCCCCCGATCATTAAATTAAATGGGTGACAGCGGTTGCTTCTAAACAGCATATTTGGGATTCCTGCTGCAGGAATACCTAAAAGCACATTCATACTATCGCGTGACTCAAGGGTTAAGGTGGGAGTGGACATATGCCTAAGACAAATTAAAAGGGCTACCAGAAGCTACACCTTGAGAAAGTCCATGTGTCTGTGGACGAAACGCATTGATGTTTGAATTGGCTATCTCCTTCCCGTTCCTGTCCCGGACGTGTCCGTGCTTCATAAAATCACAGGACAAGTGGTAGATGCATGGCTTAATTTCTATTGCAGAAAAGTGGATGGACTATGGAAAGGCAGTGTGGCTCAAGTTCCCTGGAATGGTGGCACTTCTTTCAGTATTCTATGCCCTAACCACAGAGAGTTTGCAAGGAGTAGGTATGTTTGATAAGTGATGCAGCTTGAAGGATGGAATGATATTCAGCTTTGAACTGTTTGCTGTGCCTTGTTGCTTTTATCTCTACTCGGTTGTAGCTGGTTGTCTCAATGCTTACACTGCCACTGCTCTCCTAGCTTTGCTTATGAGGAATTTTCCGATTTGTACTCTGCTTGATAAATGTGGCTCTAAGCCTTATTGGATGTGCAATCTATACACAAAGGATCATTTATATTCAGGTAGCCCTGTGCTGCCAATATGGACACAATCAGTGAGAAAGCTTCATTTGTGTACATATATTACATCAACTCTCCATCTGAGAGATAGACTACCATGGATTCATTTTTACTGCTTCATAAGTCCAAATGACACTTCCAGGAACAAGTTATTTCAATTATAGTGTATGTGTTTATCTGGTACCCGTACCTAACCAGGTGTGACTGATGCATGCAGGAATGTGTGGTAGCGGTGCTTTGACAACATTGTCCATATGTTTTAATGTTTCACCGTGGGATTTTTTTTTTCTTATGTGCATTTGGGGTACTCAATCTGTGTTTGTTAATTCTTAAAATAAAGTGTTTTTATTACATCCAGTGTTTCTCAACAACCTTCTTTTCCTGTTGTGTGTTTTGTTACAGTATGTGCCCCCCCCTAGAGAAGGAAATCTCCTTAAAAGGGTAATTCAACTTTCCAGGCTTCCTGGACGAATCTGGAAAAAATTGAATTACCCCTACCAATCTGGGAAAGTGGAATTACCCTTTAATTGTGTCACAGACAAAATATGTTTTGGTTTGGAGTTGGGCTTTAATTGCAAACACAAGTACAAACACTAAAGCTGCCATACATCTATAGATTATCTGCACATTTTCTATGGTCAGATGGAAAAAGTGCAACAGATTCCTCCATCTACGCTAAACTGTGTGGAAGGAGGAATCTGCCACTGGGCCAAGCTTCAGTATCTTGCTAGTCGGCCCCACTGGCTGTAAAAATACTTGAAAAATCTGATTGGATGCAGGTATTGTTCAAGTACTTTGAGAGCCAGCGGGGCCGACTAGCAAATACTGCAGCTTGGCCCAGTGGGAGATTCCTCCATCCACACAGTTTAGCGTAGATGGAGGAATGTGTTGGACTTTTTCCATCTGACCATAGAAAATCTGCAGATAATCTATAGGTGTAAGGCCAGCTTAACAGAGACTATTTTTTTTTCTTCCAACGTGTTAAAGGAAAGCAGTACTTAGAAAAAACTATGGGCAAACAATGTAAATCATACTTTTTGACTCACTGACATGGAACAAGTATGCAGCAAATGCAATCGGAACTCCCGGTGTGCATAAATGTTGTGGGTCAGTGACTCAGAAAGTATTTAAGCCATTGGATCGGCATGACAGCCAAGCAGCTGCCATTTTCAGAAGGACAGTTCAGCAATTGGAGAAATGTATTTTCTCAGTACAGGCTCCCTTTTAGGCTCCAGTTTTAACATGTGCTCAAAGCACATGGATGCAACTCAGGTGCAGCTTGAAACTACTTCTTGAGCAAATGAAAGGCTAATTATAGCAGCTCTAAAGCTGCCCATACACCTTACAACCATTGCACGACTTTTGTTGTGCGATGGTTGTAAGGTAATTAAAATTTCGTATGATCTGCCCATCTTGGACAGGTAGATCGTACTTGCCATCATCGCATGCCCACCCCGCTGAGGGGAGGGCTTGCGATGATTGCAGTGCTGAGCGGGCAGTGTGCGCTTGCGCACACCGGCCCGTGTGGCATTCGTCTTCCGAGCACGCCACTAACCCGCCGAAAATCGTACGATTTTCGGCAGGTTTTCAAGCGTGCTCGGAAGACGAATGTTGCACGCTGCCCATACACCTGCCGATTATCGTACAATCGCGGGATCACCCGCGATTATCGTACGATAATCGGCAGGTGTATGGGCACCTAAAGACTGATAAAAATATCTGAGTCTCAGGGCTGGTTCACACTATCTGCGTTGAGGCTAGGTTCACACCTGGGCAACTCCTGACCGAGCATCAATCGCGCACAAAACCGTGCAGATTGCTGCACGGTCACAGAGTCGCCCACCACAACCGATCGCACTGTGGATGCCATTATTTTCTAATGGCACCCCAGTCGCGCCAGGCGGATCACGCAGTTTCCCGCCGCTATTCCGCCCGTTTAATTGAACATGAAGTCACGCGTCGTGTGTCGCAAAAAAAGGTGCTTGTATCTTCTTTTTTTTTTAGCGATTGCCGTGCGGATGTCACTCCATTAAAATGTGAGCACTAGCACACAATTGCTCGTCCCGGGTGTCACTGAGGTCTGAACCTAGCCTCAGGTTGCACTGGCTGTTTATTCCAGTGCAGCCCGAGTGCAAAACAAGGCAAATTGCCTTGTCATGGATGGGCTTGGTTCACTCCACCACATTCTGGTCGTGTGCGCTTATAAAAAGTATTGCATGCAGTACCTTTTTTAAGAGCACCGTAGTGAGACACAGTGCAACGGCATTGCACTGCGGTTAGCCTATAGAACTGAATCAAATGTCACCTGTGACAAAAAAAAAGAAAGAAACAGTGTGATGCAGCTCAATAGAGTGCATCAGCACTGTTCAGGGACATGCACGCCTGTAGCCGCGTGGTTGAGCGCGGTTACGCGTGTGAACGTACCCTCAAGTCCGTTTACAGATGCCTTGAAGGTACCTACAGTATATAGTACACCTATTCATCAGGAATGAACTAACCGTCAAACAACTGTTCATACAGCATACTCATCCCCCGAAGTGCGCTCATCTGAAAAGCTCTCCACTTAGCAACATGCTCGGTGCCAACATAATCAGCTATGAACCCTAGGAATTGCCTTACCATGTGCCATGCCAACCAACTGACACTCCAACAGTCCTCGCCATTCTGTTGTGGATATTTTATGTTGATACATTTTTTTGTATCACTTCTCAGATTTCTCAGAATGGCTGCAATAGTGGCATTCTACTGTATGCACAAACTGTTGGTTCTATATAAATCCTGTATAATAATAATAATTCTGGCTCCATGTATGATTACATTTATTGTGGCTAATAGTTACTTGTAGTTGAATGTGGCTCATGGGCTAACAAAGCCTAAGGACCTCTGCGGTATGATATGCAAAATAATAATAAAAAGACTGTCCAGATGATATGAATAGCCCATTAAATTAATGTATTATTCACTTAGAAACAGTGCTTTGTTTCATTAGTAAAATCAGAGGAGAAGATTACAATTCTGCAGCATAAACATCATGCTTCCAGACACTATGCATTATCTGGAGGTAATTAACCTATTTTTTTGGGATATACATTGCAGTTAATGAATTACTCTCAGAACCACATCAGTGTTAAAGGAAACACACAATTAGCACTTGGATATGTGCTCCTGACTTCACCGACACAAGGGATTAATATTTTTAATACCTTTCTTCCATATACTTAACAGTGACTGCACTATGAATTGCATATGAGTCTTTCAGTTTATAAATATGTGTGACCTGAATACATCTCATGACTTTTTTTTTGCCAGTGGGAAGGAGGTGTTAAAAGTGAATGTGGATGATCATTGTTTCCCCCTGTGAACGAGCAGCACACTGTGCTAATGTCCCTTTGAATTACCTCCCTCTAAGCAGCACTTATTCAGAGATGGCAGATCCCAGTTTTAGGGAACTGGTAGCTCGCAAGTGATTATAAATCAGTCTTTCTTATGACATCCACAGTGTGATAATACCAGGTAGAGGTGTCAGGACCAATGCACTTCTTTGTTTAGTAAACATGATTGCTTTCGATATTTATTTTTTTATCTGTAACCATTTCAAATCTTTGTATATTTCTATGTTCCTGTACTCACCATAAAAGTATTTCCTACTCCAGAAAGTAACAGAACCAGATGCTGCCCATGCCTAGGAAGAAAAAAAAATGCACAATAGTGAAAAACATTAAAATAACCTGAAATGTTTACAGCAAATGAATGAAAATGGAGCAAAATATAAGAATCAGGAATGCACAATTTACCATTACAAAAGATTATACTAGCCTTCAACCCTCTAGAGCCCAGCGAAATGGAAGCCATTAAGGTTACAAATGTCTGCGATATTTTAGTCATAAAAGGCGATACATAGATGAAATCAAAAGTCATTTGCCATGGTATTATTTTTTTCAAGGTTGTATTGTTTTTATCATACCATTACCCCAATATGAACCTTATGGCCTTATGGCAACATTTTAAAAAGTCTCATGGAAAAAAAAAAAAAACATTTTCTCCCTTAAGCCACTGTACGGTGACACCATTCAAGACCATTACCATACTCCAGAATTGACTTTATTGACCCTGTCACTACAAAAGGCATTTGCATTTTTAGAAAACCATGCCCACTAGACTTAAATCCTGCCTCTGTATAGAAGTAGGAAAATCAGGAAATGTCCTAATGTGCCATGTAGTCTCATGTGTTAGAAGAATTTGCCCAATCTCCATTGCTTAGCTCTCACTTTGTCCAAGTAGGGATGGCAAATAAAATCAAGGTGACAACCCTTTCCTCGCCTGCACCATTCTTTACATAACTAATAGTCTGTACTGAGAAGATAACTGGGTATCATTTAGGGATGCATACATTTAAAAAGAACCAGTCAAAATTGGCATAAACAAAAATCAGAACTTTGGCTAGGACAAAAATCAGTCCCTATTCACACCTGTATCATGGCACAATAATGCTCAACAAAAGGAATCCCATTTGTTTCTATGGGGTCCGTTCACACCTATTCGTTGAGCTGTAGGGCAACTTTGAAAAAGAGTCAGCTGCTTCTTTTAGATCTACTTAGTGCATTTTAACTCTATAGACATCAATGGGTGCGCACGGAAAACACATGAAACATACATGCGTTTTTATGACTTTTAGCATATAACAATAAGCCCCAACCCCCTAGCAACCTATATATTTTTTCCCTTTCATTGGATAAAACAAAAACACAGAACACATGAAAATGCGCAAAAAATGTATTAAAACACATTAAAACTGTGTAACAAAAATGCACTAAAAAAAACTCATGAAAATGCAGACGTACAAGATTGAATGGAGACTGAATTCTTAAGATCCCATGGCCATATTCATGGAAACAATTGAGACTTTATTTTATGTTGTTTGTGGGGGCATGATTCTTGGAGAATCAGCCAAAAGTGAATGGTCCCCTGAGGTATGACAGAAGCTGTCAATTGCCTGAATTCACACCATTGCTTCATTTTCCTTCCTCTTATCTGCAGGTCTCTGCAATGTGATCCTGTATGCACACTCAGGAGACAGTATGTGTTATCAGCATGAGGTCAGGCAGCTGACTTAGCAACAATTCTCAGACCTCAAATGGCCTTTCACCCAAGCTTGAAGTCTTCCTTAGATAGAATAAGTTTATCTAAAGTCAATTTTTATCCATTTCAGATAGAGTAGGGAAAGGATAGTCTGTCCAATTTTATTTTGCTCTCTGTGTCCATTCTGGGGAAATTCACCCTCTCTATTTGTCCTGGAGACTCATATTTAAAGTGTGTGAAAATCCAAAATTGTAAGGTGTCACCAGAATAGCAATAGAGGTGAAATCGTCAAATCCCCCTTTCATTCGTGTCAGTATCAGCAATAATATATTCCTCCCTTCCCAAGAATAACCCCCTCATCCCTGGTGTCCGTGACAATGGCAGAAATAAATAATATTTTTTCATTGGTGTTAAGAAGGAGTCAAAATGACCCTCCTTTATTGATGTTCATTGGTACTTACTTGAAAATACACTCCAGCACTGCTTTCTCCCTCTCTGTTGGGAAATATAAGGTCCCTTTCACATGGGTGCCTTCCGTTACGATCAGCAGGGTATCTGTGCACCGATTCCCTGTGTGGGTGATCACAATGCGGGTGGGAGGCGCATTTGGGGTGCCATGAAAAAAAATGAGGCATGGGGCACGTCAGAGGAGGAATGGGCACGGCAGAGGAGGAGACATGGGGCACGGTAGTGGAGAAGGCACGGGGCACAACAGATGTGCCGCCCCAACAGGGGCGTAGAATATGAGATGCATAGCCTCAGTTAATATTAGCATTGTTATATAGGTTAGAATTTATATAGTGTGATTTGCCTAACTATTTTCTCATAGCTAAATTCATGTGTTATCCTATGCTGCCATCTAGTGGCCTTTTGTTGTAACAAACATGCTTTCTGTAATTATTCCTCATGTGACGATGTATTTCCCCCTAGTGTAGCCCCTTCCTGCTTCCTGTGTGCAGTACTTCCTGTGTCATGGCACAGCTACTAGCCACATGTAACAAGGACCCACATGTAATCTGCACAGTACGTAGGAAAGGCATCATTTTCTGACCGCACAATACTATAACCGTTCAACTGCTGTTCCTATCATCTGCTGTAACCTGATGTAAAGAATAAACACCTCTTTTGAATGAATCGGTATTGACGAGTTCGGCTATCTGGCGAGGATTGTCCGCGGTGAGTGTATCTGCTTGTACAGGCCAGGCATGGAGGTCTCAGCAAGGGATATATTTCGCTATCACAACGATCGGAGTCAGAATAACAGAGGAGGAGGAACAGGGCATGGCAGAGGAGGAGGCAAGGCGCACAGCAGAGGAGGAGGAAGGAGGCATGGCAGAAGAGGAGGGAATGGTAGAGGAGGAGAAATGGGGCATGGCAGAGGAGGGGGAACAGGGCATGGCAGAGGAAAATATGGGGGAAGAAATGGAATACACTATGCCCTGTTATGAAAGGAGAATTACGCATTTATAGAAAAAAAATCAAGCACCATGCCAACCCTTACTAACAATAGTTATATTAGCCTCTTCAGAGATCTGGTACAAAAAGATTTAACTACAACAGACTGGACCCGGAGGAGTAGAGATAACTTATCTAGGGAAGAAAGGAGAGCCCTCACTGAACTAAAAAATAACCCCAATTTAGTGATAAAACCCAGTGATAAAGGTGAGAATGTTGTCATATTACCAGAGGAGATGTATGTGAGGGAGGTAGAACGCCTTTTAGGAGATGCTAACACTTATATCAAACTTGATAAATCACCCTTTGATAGACTAAAGCATAACCTTAACTTTAAGCTAGGATTGGCAAAAAAGGCGGGGCTTATCCCCCAAAAGAGTACAAGTTTATGAAGGTTGAATGGTTCAATGTGCCAACTTTCTACATTATTCCTAAGATCCACAAGGACAGAATGGATCCACCAGGGACACCAATAGTCTCAGGTGTAGGTGGACCTTTGGAAAACATGGGAAAGTACATGAATACCCTGCTTAAAGAATTAGTTATACAGCTCCCCTCCTATGTCAAGGATACAGGAGATGTCCTTAGAAAGATTCAGGACATGAATATAGATAAGGGGTCCTTTCTGGCCAGTATTGATGTAGAATCGCTATACACCTCAATTCCGCACAATTGTGATTTAGATGCAGAGGAATTCTTCCTAGAAGTAGGGTTCCCAGAGGCAGGCCCACAAAATGAATTCCTTCTAGAACTATTAGAGTTTGCCCTCCAAAATAATTTCTTTCAGTTTGCAGGTGCGTCCTATAAACAAATTAAGGGGACCTCAATGGGGTACCGTGGGCACCTGCCTATGCATACTTCCATTTGGGACTTTGGGAGGCACAGGTAGTCTTCGCACATCATATATACCTGAGCCATGTCCAGCTGTGGCTTAGGTACATCGACGATATTTTGGTGGTCTGGCGGGGGTCCAGGGAGGACCTCTCACTATCTGTGGGTGACCTCAACAGCAATACCAAGAATATTAAATTAACCTATGAGATAGAGGAGGACTGCCCTTGGACTGTCCTTTTCATTGCCTCCGAATCAGGTCCTGTGAAGGAAAGTTACAAACCAGGACATTGCCTACTGCAGCCAACACACTACTGCATGTGACAAGCCACCACCTGGACTCTCTGGTGAGGGGTATCCCTATAAGACAGTTCCAAAGGATTAAGCGGAACTGTTCAGTGGAGAGCGATTATAGGGATGAGTCTGCGCCCCTCTACCGGAGATTTAGGAGGAGGGGCTATTTGCATGCAGTACCAGAGAATCTATTCTGGTAAATGAGGGTAGAAAGAAAGATCAGAAATCTAATGATCCTGTCCGTCTGGTTACACAATATGGATCTAAAATGGCATGAATTTAGAGGCATCCTAAAAAAACACTGGCATGTCTTACAGCTCTGCCCAAACTTATCAAAGATTGTGGGAGAATGCCCCCAAATGGTGGCACGACAAGCAAGAAATTTAAAAGACCATTTTGTCCATTCTGAGTATACCCCCAGCCCCTTGAATACCTGGCAGATTTTAGTAAAGTAAAGGGAATGTTTCCCTGCGGAAAATATCACATTTGTCCACATGTGGAAAAGTCAAAAAACTTTAGGGACTCAGAGGGTAGGAAGGTATTCAAAATAAATAATGTCATCAACTGTGCAAAGATGAGGGTGGTTTATCTGCTAGGATGCCCATGCAACAAATTCTATGTGGGGAAAACAAAGTGCCAGTTAAGAATAAGAATTGGCAAACATATGCGAGATATGAAATGTAATGAAAAGGACAGTCCAATTGCACAGCATTTCACACAATTCCACAATAGCCAACTAAAAGGCCTTAAAGTGAAGGGAATATTTGTGCTAGATTTGCCCCCGAGGAGGGGAGATTTTGATAAGATATTGGAACAAAAAGAAAAAATGTGGATATATAGGCTGAATACATTGGCCCCACAAGGTTTGAACCATGAATTCAATCTGCAAATGTTTCTGTAGTTTGTTTACAATTTCATTAGGAATTAGGCTCCCTACAAACAAATGTCATATTTTTACATACAAGGAAATGTCACTCTGTTAAATATTTTAGAATGTGAGGTTGTTTTGTATTCTTGAATAAA